GACAAAAGAACAGTGAAACCATGCAAGAATTTGAAGCGGACATTCTACGTCTAGTCAGGTTAGCATTTCCATCACTACCTGAGGAGACCATTCAACCGTCCCTTTGAGTGGAGCGTAGACTGTGCAACGGCATATAAAGAGCTGAAACGGGCTCTCAGCTCGTCTCCGGTTTTATCTTATCCAAAACCAGGAGATATGTTCATACTCGACACTGATGCGAGCAATACTGCCATTGCAGCTGTGCGTTCACAATTGCAAGATGGTGAAGAAAATGTCATCGCTTACTACAGCCGAGTGCTATCGAAACCAGAACGAAACTACTGCGTCACCAAGAGGCAGTTAATGGCAAGGATAAAATCCGTACGCTATTTCCATAAGTACTTGTATGGGCAGCCATTTGTCTTGAGGACTGACCATGCATCTCTAAAATGGTTGTTGCAATTTAAAAATCCAGAAGGACAAATTGCTAGATGGCTGCAAAGTATCCAGGAATATGACTTCAAAATTGAACATAGAAGGGGTTCGAGTCATAAGAACGCAGATGCTCTATCCAGAAGACCGTGCTCAGATAATTGCAAGCACTGCAATAGACATGAAGAAAGGGAAGATCAAGAACAAATTATCTGTCGCGGTACGAAATTAGAATGTTTGGAAGAATGGGAACCAAGTATCATTGCCAAAGAACAAGAAGAGGACCCCGATATCGGCCCGATTTACCAATTAAAAGCAGCCAATGAAGACAAACCTTCTTGGCAAGATATTTCCATGAAGTCACCAGCATGCAAAAACTATTGGGCTAAATGGAATTCGCTGGAGATTAATAACGGTTTGATGAAGAAAGTATGGTAAAGCACAGATGGCAAAGAACGAGTATTTCAGACAATACTACCCAAAAAGCGAGTCGTTGAAGTGCTGCGATATCTCCATAATGGCGTTGGTGGAGGCCATTTTGGAGTAAACAAAACTCTTGAAAAGATCAAAGAAAGATTCTACTGGGATGGATGCCGAACCGAT